TGGCCGAGGCACCGCACCGGGCGAGCTGCCCCCGCCCTCGGCAGCAGAGACCTGCTGTCCCCGGGAGCCCTCGGGAGGTGCCTGGGGCCAGAGACGGGCTTTGTCGCCTGGCCCTTGCGTGGGAACACTGAAGTTTGGTTGCCATAGGTGTGTTCTGGGAGTCCCATCAGTTATGGAGATGTTTATGGGTAAAAAAAAAAAAGCTGTAACTAAGTGTAATTCCACCAGAGCAAAAGGGTAGATGTAGATTGGATGTAAATTCTTTATGGTGAAGGTGGTGAGACACTGGAACAGGTTGTCTAGAGAAGCTGTGGATGCCCCATCTTTGGAAGTGTCCCAAAGTCAGATGGGACAAGGCTGTGACTAACCTGATCTAGTGGAAGATATCCCTGTCTGCAGCAGGGGGGCTGGACTAGATGATGTTTGAAGGTCCCTTCCAACCCAAACTGTTCTGTGAAATGGCTGTCAGGATTTTTGAGTGCAGGACCAGCTCTTTTAAATGTAGAGCCTGTTTTCTAAGTTTGAAGTGACGTTAAATGTTGTTGAATGGAAGTAAATAACTCTGCATCCCTTTGAGCTTAACCTTTACTTTTCACCTCTTTTTGTTTTTAAGATCTTTCTCATGGAAGAAAACCTAAAGTTGTGGTTTGGCACAAAGCAAACTGTCCAGGCAGGGGTCAGTAACTCTTGTGTTAGGAGGAGGAAGTCTGTTTCACAGGCTTACTTGTTTTCTAGCATTCATCGTCTGATTCTTTGTTGCTAGGGTCTTGTGATCAGTGGTAGAGCTATGACCACTAGAAACACTGAATGAGAAACAGATATAAGGAATGAAGGGGAAAAAAAGATCTAAACACTGGCCTCTGATCTGCCATTCTGTAAATAGTTTGTGTTTCTGAGCTGTGGAAGGGTGCTCTTGTCCAGTTGACCTTGGAGTCCAATTTGCAGTTACTAGAGTAGAAGTAGATCTGTTCTGGTTTCTTTGCTGTTGGCCTTTTTGTACTTGGAGTAACAACTTCTTGGCTCTGAGCCCAGTAAATTTTCAAGTGTTGGATGCGAGTTGCTTGTTCATTGCTACGAATTGTAAGGTTCAAGCTATAAACATTCCTGTAGTGAGAACAGTGTACAGGTTTCTTCCATGGGATGAAGGCTAGCTGCTGGAGCAGCTTGTCCTTGTCTCATCTAAGTAGTCAGAGATGTGTCCTGGCAAGGTGCTGAGAATCTTTCTCATCTTAAACTGTTACCCTGCTTCTTCCCCACAGATTGAGGAAGGGGATGCTAGCATGAATGCACCTGTCATAACTCCTTCATCATCCACTGAAAGTGTGAACAAGGTACCTGTGGTGAAGGCCAAGGCCACTCATATCATCATGAACTCTCTCATTACAAGTAAGAACTCTCACCTCTAATGGGGTGTGGGCATGCGAGTGTGCTCTGACTTGGTAATGCCTCAAGGTAACTACCAGTGTTCCTCAACAGCTTGTGGGTTCAGACTGACTCTACTCTTGAGCTGTATGAGGTTTTTTGGAGGATGCTTCTAGAGGGAAGTGAGGAACTAGGGAATGGGCCACAGTTACTGCCTCTGTTTCCGGGTGATGAGGGAGGAGTGCAGGGTATGTATCTGCTGACAGGACACTGCAGTCCATGCCAACTTGTTGCTGGAGTGCAGAGGTGGCTGCTGCTGCTACTCTGTTTGCTTATTAACTTGCTATTTCTGAATGACAGGTAAAGCTCTAAAATTAACTGGCCTGGTGTGGAGAGCTGACATACTGTGCTAATGGAGTGCTTGCTGGCATTTATGTTAGTTAATAGCAGCAGCAGCTGTCTTACTAACACTAATGCTTCAGAAAAAACACCACCTCATAAATCATGATGCCTCAAAATCAAATTGGGTCAGTTATGTTTGCAGAGGAGATGTGCCCATTTGCAACAAGAGGAGTTATTCATGTGTTATTCTGTCCCTGCTGCCTCTTAGCAGCTGGGATCTGAGCTTCATCTTTTTCTCCAAGCAGTGCTTCCAAAGACTTCTCGATTTTCAGACCAGCTATTTTGGAATAGCTGTACATTTGTGCTTATTTCAATAATTCATAAAAATAACTGACACATCAGAAAATAACATCCAGGAATATGGACTTTCTTCTGAAAAGCAGCTGCTGCTCTAGTCTAATGATAAAATTGTAATCTAGTTAAAACCATGATGGCCTAAAAATGTTCTTGTGCAGTAAGAAATCAGGAGCCCCAACTTAGACCTCCCAGGAAGAACATTCAGTCACAAGTTGGAAAAAAGCAGACAAAGGTCCTCTAGATCTCTCACAGTGCACCATCCCTGCAAATAACTTTAACATTGTGAGTGTTATCTGCTTTAAAGAAGACATTGGGCTTTTCCAGTAATCTTTTTTTGTGCTCTAATTCCTTTTGGCTTTTTTCTTAGTTGCATTAGGGAGTGAACATCTTACGCTGGTAATGTGTGTGTGGGGAAAAGTGCTTATATTTTTCGAAACTGAAGTTGATATCAGTGTATTAGATGCTGACTCTGTGTTTGGCTGAAATAGCTTATTTTACCTAACCTAGAATCACTGGGTGTCTTTACCACCTGTTCTGCAAGGCTGTCATTGTCAGATTAGCTAGTGTGGGCAGTCTTTCAGTAGACTTCATTTTTTGTTGGCTAAAACACCTCCCTTGAATCTAGAGGGCCACTTAAAGTGTCCAGCTTATTGGGGTCTCCTAGATTTAGGAAGCTGTAATTAGGAGTGATGCAGCTTCTTGGGTGACATAGGTTTAATTACAGGTGTTGCATTTGTAATTCATCTGGTGATTTGGGGCAAATCATTGCTCATCTGACTTAACTCTGTGACTCAGGATAGTTTTCAAGTCAGAATATCTCGTTAGCTTCATCTTGCTGCATCTACTCATCACAACATGTAGGTTTGAATGATGAAAAAAGGGTTCTACATTTGGTTGTTTAAGTTGCCTTTGCTAGAACTGCTTGTGGTGGCATTTCTGTGTGAATATGTGCTCTTGTCCATTCCAGAGCAGACTCAGGAGAGCATTCAGCGCTTTGAGCAGCAGGCAGGGCTGAGAGATGCTGGCTACACTCCTCACAAAGGCCTCACTACTGAGGAGACCAAGTATCATCGAGTGGCGGAGGCCGTGCACGTAAGGCTGTTTTGCATTGGCTTTCTCCGTGTAGGCTGTGTACTAGCTTAACATCTATCTGGTGACATAACTTTTGGAGCATGTTGCTAGGACTGTTTAAACTGCTCCCTCTGAAGGCTTTTAGCTCATAAAAAGGGTTACCCACTTACGTTTTAAAGTTAGCATTTATAGTTTTGAAACAAACTTTTTTCTGAAATCTGTCATTCCACAGTTGTGTCAGACTATCACAGTTGTCTTTCAAAGTGGGGACATCCCTACACAGAATCTATTTTCTTGCTATACCTTTGGTGCCCTGCAGTTGACTGTTGTAGCTGTTTGTCCCAACAGAACTTGTAAACTGCTTTTCTGATGTGGAAGTTAACAAATTAAATGGGGCTTGCCTCTTGCTGGAAATAAAGACAAAGGTCTTGAATCAACATGTTTCTGATGAGCTCAGTTGCCCACAGTAATCTCGCAGTTGGAGTTTTAGTGAACTCCCCAAGTGTACTCCCACAAGGTCAAAGTTTCAATAACAGTGTTGGTGAATTGCATTAGTGTGGCTTGGATAGCCACAGGAAATGTTCTGAGAAGGTGCCTGTGTAGTTGGTGTTTGAACTGTAACTGCCCTTCAAGTGACCTCTTCAAAGTTCAGTTTGTACTGTCTGACTTGTAATAACCTGGTTCATGTACACCCAGTTCCTGTTTATTTTATGACCAGACATACTCTTCAAATGCAGTTCATCTCGGTGTTGTAGAGCAGTGTTCCCATCCTGCTGTTTGTGGATTACTTCTTGGGGGTCTAGTACTCCTGTACCTTCTGTACGAGGTCTGGTCTCACCTTCAGTGGAGATCTTGTGGGACTGAAAGCTTTGTTGCTCTGAAGTGCTGCTGACAAATGGTTGCTGTGGCATCTAGACTTGTCACCAGGTGGCTGCACTGATGTATAAGCTGGTTCTGCTACATCAGCAGCCTCCCTGTGAATGCTGGTATTGAAGCAGTGTGTTACTGTTGGGCAGCGACTCCGAATTGCAGAGGGAGCTGTAGGTGTTACTTTACTTCCTCTAGCCTGAAAGATGTGTATTGAGCATAGCAGACTTCCGAAATGCTTAATCTGATGTGGAAAGAAGCTTAAGGGGTGTATGCAAGTATTGTAATACTGAGTTTAGCTTTAGGTGAAGTGACATTTAAATCCTTTATCACCTGTGATATAAACAGTTGACTAGTTTTGACAATAAAACTGGGTGTTTGTTCCTTATGTCTTGTATTTAAGCTCTGTTGTGTCTGTGTTTCTCTTGTTTCTCCTAACAGAAGCTAAAAATGCAGAGTGGAGAGATGACAAAAGATGACAGACAGACTTCTTCTGCTCAGTCCACTCCAAGCAGCACTCCCCACTCCTCTCCCAAGCATAAAACCAGGTACTCTTCCTGGCAGACCACTGCCTCCTTTGGTTTCCTACAGGCTGCTGAGGTTGGAGCTGCTACAAATAACCTTATTCAGTGAGGGACTAAGTGGTGAAATTCAGAGCCTGCTGTGGATTTGTGTTGGATAGGTCTGAATATATTGAAAGCTTGTGGAACTTGAGCATACATATCTTCATCCTGACTGCTAACAAACCTGCTAAGATCATTTGAATTGCCCCTGATAACATGTAAAGTTCCTGGCACAGCAGGGCCACTTCAAGTATTTGTTCTCATGTTTTGTACATCTCAATGATTTTTCCCTAGGGGTTGGTTTAGTCAGGGATCCTCTACTTCTATCACTGGCCAAGACTTTGCCATGGAAGCTGGTGGGGACAAATTGCCATCTGAAAGATGGAGCTTGTTTGGACCCAAAGCCATCCAGAAATCCACCAATGATCCAGGTATGTCCTCTAAAATCTCCTGCCCTGCAAGAGCATGGGAAAACGGCCACACAACAAACTCTCTAGCTATTTCTGGAGCCTTATTCTGCTTGCGTTGTTACTCGGACCATCTTGTGAATGTGTGCTATTCATATAATTTCTGTGTGTAAATATAACAGGTAAAACTTATGCCAAGGGTCTCAAAGTAGAAAGAAGTTGCACTTAGCTGCAGTGGAAGGACAGGATATGAAGGTGACAGCTTTTTACTCTTTTTCTGCTGTCGGGTGGAACAAGAACTGGAACTGTCAGCCACTGATGTGGAATAGGCTTTAGGTGACATGAAGCTGCTGGGAATAGGCTTTCTGCAGTGTTGGGCAGCAGTGACACTGCTCACTCCTGGCAGCAGTGGAAAAAGGACTTGGCTTGTTTTCCTAGCTCTTACTTGCTGTGATTTTTTTTTTCATCAGGAGGATTTACCATCCAATCCTATAAGGGCGCCCAGAAGCCATCCCCAATGGAGCTGATGCGTGCTCAGGCTACTAGGATGCCAGAGGATCCAGTCACCTTCAAGCCACCCAAAATGGACATTCCAGTCACAGAAGGGAGGAAACAGTCTCCACGTTCCCATAGTATCAAACCTCGAGATCTGAACGTGCTCACTCCCACTGGGTTCTAGGAAGAATGCTTCTGATATCGTTAGTGGGCTACAGGCTGTCTTAGGCTCTGCTTCCCTGTCCCATTGTGCTGCAGTAAAATAGGAAAGTCTCACTTCCAGCTCTTCATCTCAGAAAAGGAAACAGATGTGACTATCTTCCTAAAGCCAGTCTTGGAAAAATTCCTGCACTAGTACTAAACCGATGTAAACCATCCTGTCTGCTGTATTGCACCAGTTGGGTCTGCTAGGCTGTGCTAGATGTGCTTCGTGGCACACTATGCCACAGTAAAACCTTGAACCATGTTTTGTGGGACAGGACTGCAGGTGATGTGCAAGCAGGCTGACTTGTCTACCTGTAGCCTGATTGTATTGTCCTGCTCAGTGCTGAAGTACTCTCAGTATACAGACCAGCAGAAAATGATGAAAACAAGCAAGGACTAAAAACTGGACCATTAACTGCCAGCAGAGAGTTGCTCTGGGAATGTGGTAGGTCGGTTTTAAGTGTGGCACTCCCTTACTCTCCAGTGTGACCTTATAGTTCAACACCTAGTATTTCTTTCTTAGAGTTTTTTTAAAGGAAAATGGTCACTGCTCCACTTCTAAGATGCTCTTACTAGAAAGGCAAGGGAGCAGAATCTAATGGGGCTTGGCAGTATGAGGAAGAATTGCTTCTCTTCTGACTCTTCATGTTCTGCCAAAAAGGTGGAAGTGACCAGAGCTGGTGTGGCTTTAATCAAGTAATCCTCCTCTTCTTTCTGCAAAACAACACTGTCCTGCCTTCTAGACAGACTTACAGATGTTCTGACACTGAGTGCTGCTTGATTAAGTTTATTTTTCTAGCATCTTGTATGAATCATGTAGAAGTGTATTAAACACCAGGGGCACTTCTTAAATAGGGTTTTTTGTTTCATCAGCATTAAATGCATTTTGCAGGGCTGGGGGAGGACTGAGGGCAGATGAGAATTAAACATACCTCCCCACTATGATACAGCTATATGTAATTTTTGGCCTATGCAGAACCAGTTACTGGCAACAGCTAACACTTGCTTTCATGAAAAGTGGAAGGAACTCCTGGCCACCATCTCATCCCTGAAGCATTGTAGGCAGTGTTGCTCTGTAATTGTCATCTGTCCTGTGGCAAACAGGTCTCCTCTCTTGATCTCATGATTGTGTTGCAGAGCTCCCTTAGGCAGCAACAGGCTTTCTGTAGTGGCAAGGTGGCAGCAGCAGCTTTGCATCTGGTACTGGAAGCTTCTCTGTTGCCAGGACATCATACAGAGATTACTTAAGAGCTGGTAACTTTTGAGCTCTGGGGTTTCTGCCTTCTTAAACTGAACATTCCTCCTGGAGGGTGAGGCAGGAGTTGGCTTGCTTGGCTAGGTGCTGTCCCCTTTGAAGATGTATATTTTGTGGCTCTGCTTCCTCTCAAGCTTCAACAGCGCTGCCAATGATGTGTTGTGTTGAAAGTCCCCCACCCAACCAAGCAGTTTTTGCTGTTGCCACTCATTTGCACCTTGGCAATCAGTCTCTCATTTGACATTAATTTATTTGTTGTCTGTATTCATGTCTCTAATGTGTATGATTTTTTTGTTTGTTACAAGAAAATAAAATTCTTGTGAATGGAGGTCCTGGGTGTGTTTTAGTGCTGGCAAAGCATCTGTGGAGGAAATGCAGGGCTGTCCAGTGAGTGTGAGGTCAATGTTCTGCCTAATGAGGCTCTGGCAGCACTTGCACTGGGGTAAAATGGTTGATCTGTAAAACTCCCTTTCTGACAGGGAGACCAGGTTTAAAGCCAGACCCAGTCCTGTCTTAGGGCTTGTGCAGACAAAACTAAACACGAAATCTTTGTGTTTTCTTGAGCTATTCAGATCGTGATAAATTGATGTCCCTGAGATTGCTTTTGTGGCTTGTGTACTGCGTTTGTACCTGTACTGTGAAGGTGGGCAGAGGTGTGGGAGCCAGGCTGGTGTTTGGAGGTGCCCAGCTCCCAGTGGTGTGGCCATCCCTGCTTTGCCTTCCTCTGAAAAGTTCTGCTTTGAGTGCTGTTGTAGCATTTGTAGCTGCCAAAGTGCTGCTGATGTTCTCCTGGGCTGGGGATGTCTGAGTGTTTCCTGCGCTCCTAGAGCGTTAGCAGAACTAAATGAAGTACACAGGTACTCTGGTACAGTCTGCTGCAGGTCTTGGTTACATGGGCTAATCTCATAGTTTAGTTTGGAAAGGCTGGGGTTAAAGTGTGGCCTCTTGGTGTGGTATTCCATTTTCTGTATTTTATTCCAGCATCGTTTTGGGGATAGGGCCAACATAACAGAAAATCATAGAATGGTCTGGCTTGGAAGGAACTCCAAATATAATCTAGTTCCAACCCCCTGCCGTGGGCAGGGACACCATAACATCCGTAACTATGGACGTCTTGCTGGAATGCAGCTTCTTTTCTAGTCTAATGATGGAAGTCTAATCCAGATATAAAAGGACCTAACTGGAAAATACACCTGAATGAGCACACCATGCAGGAAGAGCTGCTTTCTAGAGCAGAGAGCACTTGGAGTCTGCACTGTTGGGAATGCTTCTGGCTACTACTCCCAAAACAGACTTCACTTGTCCCTGGATTAGAGGGGCAATGTCATGCAGATGAGTGCTTTGTTCTACATCTGGCAGTTGGGAAGAGCCTTCCTAAAGAACAAGAAGCAAACCTGTGAGCCCCCAGTCAGACCCTTCCAAACAGTTCTGGTCTAACTGAAGCCAGGTGTCTGGATGAGGCCTTGCAAGCACCGGGTCTGTGGTGTCTGCAACACTGACATCAGGATTACTCCATTCCTGGCCAGGACTGTGCTGCTTGATGCTCCAGAGCTCTGGTCCTCTCATTAGGACCCTGCCAAGGATCACCCACCACAGGGGCAGATATAAGGGTGGTGGGCAGTTACAGGAGTCTTTCTGCCACTTCCAACCTCTGCTGCTTCTGAACTGTCTGAGGAGACCTATGGAAATGCATAACTGCTCTCTGACCTCAATGTGATTTGAGTTGATAGCAGTGTGTTTGAATTGAATACTCATCTTCATCATAACATGCATGCTTGCCTGCACTGTGGACACTTCAGTGTGTTCTGGAAGAGGTGCAGCCTTTTCAGCTGATGCTGCTATCCAGTCCTCCCTCTTGACATGCTGATCACCTTGGATGTATTTGATTTGGAACAGATAGGTTCCTCTCCTGAGGACTGTCCAGGATGGCTTGGGGATCTCTGCACTGTGAATGCCCTCACTGCAGCCCATGCCTGCTTTTTATTTTTTCTTAAATACCACATTTTCCTAAACATCGCACAGGTATTTTGGCATTTTGCTTCCTGTGCAAGCTATTGTCAGAGTTTATGGCTGTGTTAGTCTAACGCTATCCCAAGGTACAGCTGACAGAGCTCTGTGCTTCCTTTGGGCAGGGCTGGCACCAAGATGGAAGAGTCCCAGCAAATATGAAAATAATTTATTTTTTAAAAGTCTACAAAGTGCCTTGTAGAACTATAAGAGGCAAGTTTGAAAGGAAATTCTGAGACCATGTAAACCAGACATTTTTTCCCAAAGAAATGTATAAATAAACCCCCATGACATATGACACTTGAGACTGCAGTGTGAGAGGGGGGTTTTACAAAGGAAACATGAAGCTCTTTGTGCCCCCAGCTGCAGTGCTTGTCTCCATCAAGCAGCAGTGACAATGAGGAACAACTCCCGAAGCATGCATAGTTTCTCCGTGATCTGCACGGGAAAAGGCTGCCCCAGGACCTGCTCCATTTGGCTGATGAAGTCCTCTATCTTCAGTTGAATTTCCAGGTAGCTGATGTCATCACCATCCTGGAGCTTGGGCTTGGCTTTCTGAACAATCAAGTCCATCCGGTCGTTGAGTGAGCTCCGTAAGTGCTCTGCAAGAGGAAAAGCTGGTGGGGAGAGGCAACACACAGTGGGCTGCATGACCTGTTCAGGGATAGATCGCAGCATGCTGCAGTGAGGAGCAGCTGGGAACCATGCTGGTCCTCTCACAGTTATCCTTGGTGCTTCTGTGCAAGATTAGCTTGGTGGAAGAAGGTACTGTCCCCTCCTGGAGCTCAGTCTGATCGTGGAGAGAGCCCAAGAAATGGGGAGGTGGCAGGGCTTGTAGCCTCCTTTTCTCCTGTGCTAGTGGCAGACTGGTCAGCTGTCCAGCTGCAGAGTCCCCAAAGAGCTTAACAACAGTGATCATCTAGGGCTTCAGGGAGAATAAGAGTCTATGCATGTGTGACAGTGAGTTCCTCTGCATTCCTCCATGAGAGCCTTAACCCTGGGCTAAAGCAGCTGAAGTTGGGAAGAGGCTTTAGGAATTTTCTGGTAAAATGACTTTAGGGAGTGTTCTGTGTGCCACTATCCTCGGGTCAGAAATACTGCTCCTTCCGTGGCTACTGTGCATGGTGTTTCCTGCCCACTAAGTGCTGAGTGTGCCCTGACTTTACCATCCCTTTGACTTTTGCTTTTCCTCCTAAACCACCCTATTCTTCCACCCACTGCGTGTGCAACTTAGACCACAGTGGGTACAAAGCACCCCCTTGTGTACTTCTCAGTGCTGGGATTGATGCTTTAGGAAGTAGGCTATTTCTTAGGGGCTAATCTTGGGGCAGCAGGTTGGGTGCTGTGCTTGATGCAACATCACTTCTTCGCTCTGACTGCTGGGAATAGTTACTAGTGTGGATGGAGGCACATTATCTTTCTAAGAGTCAGTGGCTGTGAGTTCAAGAGTGATGAGAAGAGAGGAGGAAGGGCACTTTGGCTGTTCTACTGCAGCCTCTTGATGAGATCGTGTTTGTTAAGGCCAGAACAGCCTACTTACCCAGCATTACATTTTGGTAACTCAGCAGCAGCAAACTCAAGTACTGCAGCATCTCATCCCATCTTTGCCATGTTGCTGTTTCATCCTATGACAGGAGAGAGTATTTGGTTATTAGAAGAGGTTTTCTCCTGAGAAAACAAGGCAAAGGAGAGGTTGGACTGGATACCTGGTATTGCAGCAGCACAGAGGAGTGGCTCAGGAAGTACAGGATCTTGGACAAAGACAAGGGCAAGGTCGTGGGCACGTCGCAACTATGCTGGAACAACAGCTCCAGCAGTTTGCAGCGCAGGAGCTGGCTCTCCATGGTGTTTAAGAAAGCTTCCCTGGAAGACAAAGGTGTTTACTCTGGTGGAGACAGCACAGCCTGACCAGGGACAACTGCTCCAGCACATTCCTGGTGTCCTGCTGGTGCTGATCTGGTGCAGGGGCTGCCCAGCAGTGCAGTGGAAGGATAACCACCAGATGTGAGACACACCTTTGTTATGCAGCTTGGCCATGGACATGTTTATGTCCTTAGGTTTGACCTGTGCCAACTTGAGGTCGGTACAGTCTGTGAAGCAAGCTTAGCTGCTTCACTTCACCCTGCCCAGTTCCTGCTGACTTGCAGGGAGCACAGCCAAGCAAGTGTGAAGTGGGGTCAGCGGCCAGCCGGATGTAGGAGACCTGTCCTGGGAGGAGTGATAGCTTGGTTAGAGTCAGTTTGGCTTGATTAGACCTGCTGTGTGCTCAGAGAGAGTTCTGCTAAAAGGGTCTGAAAGGGCTCCCTGCTGGGGCCAACAAGCATGGGTTTGAAATATCTGTGGGTCTAGTGGTCTCACATCAATACTAGAGCCAGTCAGGCCCTTGTGATACTGCATTTGTTAGAAGACAGGCCTTCAGATACTGCATTTGTTAGAAGCAAACAAAAGCATGTCAAGGCAAAGCTGCAGGAACCGCATCATATTTCTGATGAGTTTCTCAGTTGTCCCTGGGAATTGGTGATTTGTTTGCCAGTACTTGATCATGCTGATGCAGAGTATTGCTTTTCAGACCTGCTTTACAGTTTTAAGGTCTTAGAACTTTAACAAGTGGGAGAATCAACTTTTCTCAGCAACACATGAGTTGGGGAGATGCATTCAGCTGGTGATGTTCTACCTCCACGGCATCTGTCAGTCCAACAGCCATGTGTTTGCTGGCTGTGAGACATAAATGATCCTGTCTTTCTGTACCCTATGGTATTTTATGCATCCAGACTTGGATGTAAATAAGGAATAAGGCTAGTGCTCCCAGAGGCAGATGCTGCCTTCCACATATTTGTCTCACCTTTGGCTCCTCAAGGGAATATTCAGTATAAACGGGAATATCACATCTGCGATCTTATAGGAGCTGCAGTTTGGAGATTTGTCCACTTCCACTGCGATGGACAACATCCGCTGGAGGAGGAGCATCACCCTAGGTTAGAGAGACAGTCAACATGAGACACCACCCCTTGGCTTGCAAAGCAAAGCGGTGGGGATGGCACCTAGTTCAGCCTCATGCCTTGCAGTGACGTAGGGGAACATAGCAGGCTAGTTTTGGTGTCTCTTGGTGGCTTTTGAATCTGATGCTTGTGGAAGCAGAGCTAATCCCCACATGGGCCCTCAGGAGGCCTCAGCAGCTGTACTGAGCGTTGGTGTAGCAGCACAGGGCAGCCTAGGTGGTGGGCCAAGAGCTCCAGCCTTATGAAAGAGGAGGATGCTCACTGATCCAGTTTCCTACCTGGTGAGGAAGTCTCTTGCTCACCAAGTGTATGTCTACCCCAAAGGAGAACTTCAGGTACAGCCTGGCTTCCCTGACTTGACAGGGAGAGACTCTGGCTTCTCCCTGGCTTGGGCCCCATGAGACTGACAGCAGGGAGCCAGGACTTCTGGGACTTACTTCTGGGCAAAGAAAGCTGGTGGAGCCATCTCTGCCTGGTCAGTGCTGGCCAGCCGTGGTGCAGATGAGCTGTGTTCGGCCTTTGCTTCTGCTGAAGAGGATGTAATTTCTTGTGGCTGCTCCTGGGGCTGAGAGAACCCGACTCCTGTAACTGCTGCAACCAACCATTCGACCACCTCCCTGGGACAGAAACAGGAATGTTAGCAGGGACAGGCCTGGCTTTGCTGCACTCTGACCTCTAGATGCACTTGCAGCTCAAGGAAAGACTCTGATGATGAAGAATACATCCCACCCACTTGGACAGGCTAGGGAGTGTCCTCTGTTGAGCAGCAGATTTATACGCTTGTCAGTCCTGAGTAATGCAAATCTGACCTCATTCCTGGAAAAACCCGTTAGGTTGTGGCTGGAAATGCCTTGCATCATCTCTGGTGGTTTGCTTTTGTAAACCTGCTCCTGTTCTTTCTACCTGGGCCCTACACTTCTCTCTGTATCCCAAGCTTGTTTCCTGGAAAGTCTGAAAGTCTGACCTGGAGTCTCAACAAGTGTTCCCTGAGCCCCTGTCTCTAAGCATCTGGTTAGAGTATGGGAGGAGGTGTCTCTTACTTGACATTGTTGAAGCACGTGTCACATGAAAGCACTTTCTTGGCAATTGACTTCTGCAGCAGGCGCAACCTGAGGTTCTGCTGGAAGTCATCCTCCAGGGTCTGCACCACGTACTGCAGGAAGAGGAGCCGGCCAGGGGGCTTCTCCTGAGGGCAGATGGAGATGGTATGAGCCTGGTGGAGCTGCAGGACGAGGAGCACCAGGAAATTTGGCTGTCTCAGGAATAGGCTGATGTACATGACTGAGGAGTAGCTCCAGGAGGGGCTGCCTGGCTCAGGCAATGCCCTGCGGGTTTGGCTGGACCTGTTCTGCCATTGCACTAGGGCTGTGGCCTGCAGAGGCTTTGTCTGTTTCTGTGTTTTCTTCAGATGAGACAACCTGCCTACAGCTTTGCAGCAGCTTAGGGAGCACCACGGATAAAAGTGGGAGGCCCAACTGGCATTTGCTACCTTCAGCAGCTGCAATGAAACTGCATGTTGGACCGGCCCATTCTGCAGTACAGCACGGCCGTGAGGCCCTGGGGCAACGCTTACCCTCCGGCACCACGTACTGGATGATCCCTGCCCGACGCGACACACACGGTGCCAAGTACCTGGTCCTCCATGATGTATTTCAGCAGCGTCCAGTCCCATCCCACTGTGGCGGTGTTGGCTGGATGGAGCCTGCAAGAACAGCACTGTCCATTTGTGCTGAACTGCTCGACCGTCTTCCTGGAAGCGTGGCAGCCCCGGGCCCTTCCCCAGCCCCACTTGCTTAGAGGCCTGCCCTGCCTTCTCTCCAGCTTTGCCCTCTCCCTTTCTCCTCCCCTGACCACACTCATTTTTTGGAGGCACCTGAACTGGGGCTGTATGCCATGGAGAGCATTGGCACTCCTGAGCCCGTGGCCTCACAAAACATTGTGCCTCTCTGCGGGAACCCTGAGGGCAGCGGGGTAACCTCTCCAGCCTCCTCCAGCCCGTGGTCCCCGTTGTAGCCCAGGGAAGGCGTTTCTGCCATGTCACAGCAGTGAAGAATGAGATCTGCTCTTCAGGAGCAAGGCAAACGCACTCTGTCCTAGAGGGCTCCCTGGTGTCACAGGCTGTCTCTGTGATTAAATGATTAAAGCACACTCATGGTATAATTGGAGCT